CTCCGCTCGCCCCCTTACCTGCGATCTCCTGGTAGGGCACGCTGGCCAGGCTGAAGCCCTTGGCGCTGTACGCCTGCCGCACCTCGCCGCAGCTCCGCGCTTTGCCCTCCGTCCCCGCGGCCGCGGCCGGCACCAGCAACAGCGGCAGCAGCAACAGCCCCGCCGGGGCGCAGCGCCGCGCAACCCCCTGCGCCGCCGGCATGGCGCGGCGCGCAAATCCCGCGCCGCTGCCGCCGCCCCTCCGCGGCTGCGGGGGCGGCGGCCCGGGAGCCCCCCGGCCGCCCAGGCAAACTTTTCGGAGGCGGGGGGGAGATGGGCGCGCAGGCACACACATGCGCGCACGGCGGGGGGCAGGAGAGCGGCAGCCTCGTACCTCCCCCCCCACCGGCTCCTTCTTCGGATGCACAGCGGTCTCGCCCCCCGCCAAAAAAAAAAAAAATTAAAAAAAAAAAAAAAAAAAAAAAAAAAGGGGGGGGGGGGGGGTGTGGTGGTGAAAATCTGGCTGTAGGTTGTGAAGATTGGAACCGCGGGTGCGTTGCTGAGAGCGGAGTCCCGGGCCGGCGGCAGCGCGATCCGCCGCGGAGCTGCGCCCGCCGCCTCTGCGAGGCTGGATGGAGGTGGTGGGAAAAGCAGCCGGCGTGGGGATGGACTGGACAGCGGCTCTGTGCGTGTGTGTGTGTGTGTGTGTGTGTGCATGCGTGTGTGGTGCACTGGATGCCGTGTGCCTGTACTGACGGGATCCGGGGAAACCTCTGCTCCCGCGCAGCGCTGCTTGGAGCAGCCTCCGGAGCCAGGCAGGGAGAGAAATCCTGGAGACAGACAAGGCGAGGGAGAGCCGCGCACGCGAACACACACACACACACACACACACACACACACAGAAACGTGCTACACATTGCATCGCCGAAATAACAGGAGCAGAAAGCAAATCCTGGCGTGGATCGCTGGTTGCTGGCAGAAGGAAGGAAAAGCACCCACAGCCTCGAAAACTTCCTCCTCTCCACGAATCCACCCGCTCCCAGCCCCAAAATTACCGATTGCCTCCTAACAAGAAGTCAAAAAAGATACTTTTCGGCGGTATTGCTCTCTGTAATGCCAAGTTTGGAGTGAGCTCCGTAAATATTTTTATTTTTTTTGTCATTAATTATTTGTCGCACACATAAATACTTGAGCTGAAGAGCTAGAACAAGGATGAGTCCATGAGATTCTCACGAATCATGAGAGGAAAGGATGTTTCTGTGCATCAGGCAGAGAAGAATGAGGAGGAAGCAAGAAGGGCTGTCTGTCCTTGACCCGGCCAATTCGTGCCACCCTAGGAGAGGAGAGCAAGGGACAGAACCATAAATTCCCCCCTGCAAATGAGCATCTGCAAGGAACTGAATGGGGGAAGTGAAGAAAATTCCTGCAAGGTGAATTCAGTCTCTGCTTAGGCAGAAAGGAAAAATACTCTGTTCCTAAGTATTTGATAGTAAAATCCAAAGTTACAGTTTTAAAGGATTTATTGCAGTGCTTTTTATGAGTACTGTAGAAAAGTGTGATATTTTGTCAAAAGCACACAGACAGAGATGTCAAGCCCAGGATGAAGTGAAAAAGGCCAACAAGAAGAGATAAAAGCCCATCAACTTGGAGACTCACTTATCAGAGAGGAGCCACAGGGCAATATCATGACACAATCATAATTCAAGATGCATTCAAATTACACTGAAATTATTAGGTGCCAATACTGTTGCAGTGTCACATTAACTGCAGTGTTAGTCTTGGTTCTGGGCCAGCGTACACAGCCTGGTCCCACCTGACGTTGCGTTTTCCCTTACTGTTTTCCCTCTCCCACATTGTCATTCCTTTTTCTTCCCTCCCCTTTCCCCCACCAACCGAGCGATGATGCTCTGACGCTTCGTACACAGCAGAGAAACAGCAGTTGTGTGTGCGGTGCGTGTCCTCCTTCTTCCTCCCAAAATGGGCAGGGCAAAGAGGGCAGGGAGGAGAGGGTGGGACGTGAATTTTATTAAGAATCCTGCAATCTGGTCAGAACTGTGGGGTGAGCACCCGGCCCTACAACCTCCCCCTAAGGTGAAATGTTGTGCAGTTGGGTCAGGTTGGAAGGCAAAGGTTTGGGAGGGGGGCTAGCAAAAGAGAGAGAGATTTCCTTCCTTCCTCCCAGTCCACAAGCCGTTTGAAAGCTCCATGGACTTGCTAACTTGAAAGGTTTAATTGTAACAGTGTCAAGCCTATCATCCAGCTTCATCTCCTGGAGGACAAGGTGGAAGTCACTGCTTTAGCAACCCAGAAATAGAGAACTCCTCGTGTCACCAGCCCACTACAGATAATAAGCTGTTACTACATGATAGTGACCCCATACTAATGAACAGTTAGGCAAGGTCTGTGTGTTTACTGCGTGGCAAAGTTTTGAAAGATCTGTAGGTAAGATCTCACTGTACGTCAGAAACACACAGTTCACCCTAAGATAGGATCAGGAGGGCGTTACAAATGTTACACATATCTCATTTCTTCTGCATTGTTCCAACTTTCATAGAATCATAGAATCATAGAATCGTCTAGGTTGGAAGAGACCCTTGGGATCATCGAGTCCAACCATCTACCCTACTCTACAAAGTCCTCCCCTACACCATGTCCCTAAGCACTGCATCTAAACGGCCCTTAAACACAGCCAGGGATTTCCTCTCCATTGTGGTCAAAGCAGAGGATTAGCTTGCCACACATCAAGCATGACAGACTCCCCCACAATCCAATCTTCTTCAACATTTCTTCAACCCACAGGAAAGTTATTTGACACAAATTCAAAGATGCAAATGAGAAAAATCAGCAAACCCGTTTGAAGTGCAGAACTCATCATAAAATAGAAAAAGAGAGTCTACGATTAACTCGGGAGTGCATCTAGGTAATTGTTGTTTAAGGAAATTGAAAATCTGCTAGAAGAAATGGGGCTTAGTGCCCCACGCATTTTTTGCAAATACCAGTTGAACTCATACGATTGGTAGTATGATGGCACTTTTACATCAGGCGATGACAGCATGATGTAACCTTTGCATAACATGGGAAACCTGCTATGGGAAAATCAGGCTCACTTCCAGCCTTGGATCTTGCTTCAAACAGAAATGGCCTCAGACAGCTGGTTGCATTGCTGCGTTGAAGGAACGCCTTACTCTCCTAAGAGCTCACGTTTAAACACAGGTATTTCTATCACTTCAACAAATCTCCTACTCATCACATGGGAAAACCATTGTGTGTCCTCAGTACGTATATAATTAATTTTGTACAAAGTGGAAGAGATCCAAACAAAGCCCAGGTCGGGACGTGCTCTAAGCCAGTGGCCCTTAGAAACACAACACCTTCTGCCAGGCACATTGTAGACGTGAGCTAAAAGTTCTCCTATGTCAGGACCCACACTGTTAGGTTTTTTGAGATGGCCACACCATACCCATCCTTGTTCAGCTGTACCTTATCAAAAAAACACATGACTGGTGATTTTCACAACTCACGAAAATACCTCTTTAAGTTTTTCTCTCAGAAGGAGGCACAAGCAACCACTTGTTGCTGAATTAGAAATGATTCAATGTATACAAGATGTAGAATAAAGTCCTCCTTCCTCCTCCTTGACATGGTGATTAGCGTCTTCCAGGTTACAGTGTTCTGTGGCAGAGATGGACTTGATTTTGAGTTGCCATGTGTCAGTGAGTGCACAAACCCCTAATTTGTTGGGTAAAAGGCTGGCTTTTCCTATATTAATTTTGGGAAGCAACACGTTCGATTCATTTGCATAAGCACCAAAATGAAACATTTTATTTTCATTAAATTGAACATTTTAATCACTGGGGAATGTTTTTGCTTCTTTTGCATTTCTGTGGAAAGAAATAATAGCACTTAAAAAAAATTATTTTTAATATTTTTGCTTGCTTGGCAGTCAGACTGAAAATCAATCATCTACCCTCTTGGAGACCCCCCCCTTCCACCAAACACATTCAATGTGGTAACATAGATGATTGCTTAGAATGAAGATTTTGCAATGCGTCTACTGGCCAAGTAGCCCTTTTTTTTTTTTTTTTTTTCCAAGTTATTCCAAATAGAAGGTGTTCATTTGTATCAAGTTCTACTGACTGATTTTTTTTTGCAAACTTTTTCCTAAAGTTGTGCCAAAAATATAGAAGACAAATGATTTTTAACCTTTGTTTCCAAATACCTCTATTAAAAAATGGATTAAAAGTAATCATTCACACCCCATCATAATAAAAATGTCAATACCAAGTAGAATGGCAGCCAGTGTTAATTCCTCCAACGACTGGAACACTCTGCCCCACATGGCTGAGACAGTTTTATGGTGTGCAGTAAAGGAGCTATGGAATCTCTAAACAACAAGGACAAAAATAAATATTGAGTTGTTGCGTCATTTGCCAAGCAGCCATCATCTTGAGCTCTGAACAATTCAAGGACATGGTGGAAAAACACATGATTATGGATTTAAAACATTATAACGTGTAGTCCATAGGTGTGAGATTGAGATCGTACAAGGAAGGTTCGCTCATTTTATTCATGGTTGTGAGTTATCTCACTTTAGAAACAGGATAAATGATGTTATGTTGAAAGATGCACTGATTTATTTTCAGGTGTTATCAAAAACCTCTCATTGATGTCATGGGTATTAAGGGGACTGCATAGACAAAAGCATCTTTCACCTGACTTGACAATAAAGCTTTGGCAAATGTCAAAATGCTCTATAACTCGAGTTCACACACAAAAAAAGAAGCTGACTTCTATATTCACCGTTAAACCTGTGTGCTCCATAGATTTGCAGCTTTCACATAATGGATTTCTAGCTAGAAGGTTTCATGGGTTGAGGCAATGATTGGTGAGATTCTCAGATGTCCAATAGGATTATTGGTGAAGCGGCTGTGATGTTTCAGTTATTTCTGCAGGTGGAGAACTACAATTAACCCCCGTCTGCATCACCAGGCCCTGAAGCTTCTAGGGGGAGGGGAGGCTGGTAGGATCCTGCCCTCATCTTAGCGGGACATCTATCCCCACACAGATTTCCAATGCATTTTTTTAGAGTACAGAGCACATCCTTAATATTGGGGATCAATTCACCCACACTCCAGGCTGTACACCCCAACAGAGAAATCTGAATGCACTTCTTTTGCTATAAAACTGTGTGGACAAACATAAAGAAATTACATGAAGAAAATGTTCTTATTCTAGGTCTTACAGTGTCTACTCCAGATGGATGTGCTTCTTTAAAAGGTCAGAAATCATTAA